GNGTGATCTTCGCTTAACAGCCTCTTTACAGCGTGCTCAGTACTGCTGGTGATAGCAGAGCGTAACTAAGTAGTATAGTTTTAGGCACTGGTATGATAGATTCTATTGTGAATTCTTTGGTAAGATAATATACCGGAAATTTGTTTGAATGAATCAGATGTTAACCTTTAGATATTTCTATACGAATTTCTGTAGGGCACCTACCGGGTGTGTGGTTTGTACTTGAGCTGAATGCTTAAATTAAATAAGACACCGATTCGTTTCTGATTACGCTCCTAATTCGTGACACATTGGGGAGGTCTTAAGACTTACATAGCTATTTTTTAACCGTTGACTGTTTGTCTTAGAAATGCACAGTTGAGTAGTTCGGCTCAGTTCAACAGTTGCCAACTTTCTGCCATTTGTTCCATCGTTCAATTAATTCGCTACCTGAACTCAACGTGTTTTGCTCAGCCTAGACAGACGATCGAAAAGATTTATGCAGCTTATATTAAATGTACTATGCTCATAATGGAGAGTCAGCCTTTAAAAAAATATTGTGTCCTGGTTAGATAAAAGAAAACTAAAAAATTGAAAATAAAATAATGGCAAAAAAATATATATTCTTAAAACAAGCTTTTATTTAACATGTACAATCAATAGAATATAATAAAGTTAGTAACTTTAATGAATGCTTAACTCATTTTATTTTATTAATTTTAGTGCAGTTTTTACAAAATTTTCTTGCTAGAAAATCTTTTGTTACACTACTTTATTTTATTCTTTTGATTGAATATGTTAAATAAAAGCTTGTTTAAAAAAAAATATTTTTTTCCATTATTTTTTTTTGTATATATATACATACACATTGTACATAGCAAAATTAAAAAATAAATTCCTTTTTTGCCTTTTTTCAAGTTTTTAATGCCTTAAAATCGGAGACGCTGCATTACAACTAGTTATCTGCTTAAGTCCTGCAGCTTCTTTGTGTTGCATTAGCGCAGTAATTCAACGCTAACATAAAATTGTGTAAATATTACGAATTACTGTAAAAGCGTGGTATTTCTCTGAAATATCAATGCATGTGTTCATACTTATGAACTTGCAGAAAAAACTCAATACTTTTTTCGGTAGACTAATTTTTGTTTACGGTTTAACAAAGGTGTGAAGTTTTCCGCTGAAACTTGTTGAAGGCAAATGAGTAGAGGTCGAAAAGAGGTTTAATGATAAGTGAAGTTAGGATAAATAAATGTCAAAGAAAGCGGCTGTGTGTTTGATTTGGGTAAATGTACTTAGCAAAAACTTTCTTGATAAGGGATAGAAAACAAGACACATCTAGGGTCCTCTGCAATAACGGCACAACTCAGAACATAAAAAAAAAAATCTTTGTTACTGTTAACACTAGGACAGATATGCAACATTTACCACGAGGGTGTACCTTTGTACCTCATAATGAATTTTTTCCTTTTTCAAGATATATGAAAATTTTACTAAGCTAGCTAGCTATCGTTAGCTTAGATGTAATTGAGTAGTTTAATGCTAATGTGGTTTGATATAACTGGCCAGATGCTAAAATGAAAGCGCATCTAATGCTCTTGCCTACAAGTTAGAAAACAACTAATTTAAAAGCTAATAAGTAAAAAAGTCTTAGTTTGGGCGAAGCCGAACATTATATAACCGGTAATAAATAAATAGAATTTTTTTCATCTTTCTGGAAACTACCGTTACATGTTAATCAGAAGCGGTTTTACTTCAACTTAAATATTTTCAATGATATGTTCCGTTAGAATTAATTTCGTCGAATTTAGTTAACTTATCTACAAGCTTTATGACATATTAAAATATGAGCGGCAATAGAAATGGATTTATGAAAGCCTTAGTTTGAAAATGTCTTTGATTAGGCTTGCCTCCTTTTCGAAAACTGTTACCGATCTAACTAAGTATATATCTAACACGAGAAGAATTTTTTGTGCGGGTAATTAGATTTGCATGGTTCTTTTGAATTTGAAATATGAGAGGTCAAAGTAAAGACCCTGGCCTGTAGATTTGCGTTAAGATTAAGAAGCGCAGCGAGTATGATCAAACTAATAATCTAATCTAAAAAATATCCATGTTTGTACATACATGGAAGAAAATAATCAGCCCTATTCTGCATTTTGACTCGAATCGAATTTTTCTCCGTTTGACATCTTTGGTATTCTGCGTTCCGTTTCCTTTCAATCAATCTTCGAAATTTACGATTATACCTATTCTACATTTCGATCATAGTTACGTTTCCTAAGTTGCGAGAGTATGTACAATGACTATGTTCTCTGTTGGTATGAACCGGTGTAGTGCTCAATTCTCTCATTGACTCACTAAACCAATTTGTTATACCAAATTGAGACGCAGCATAATGAGGTCAGTCGATTGGCTCAAGTGATATGAGTCTTTTATAGCAACAAAACATAAACGAACGGGAGCGAAACGACGAAACAGAGACAGCGTGCGAAAGCACACTAACAGCCCGATTCTGTGCACTTGACAAATTATCAAAATATTGATAATTTATCAAGATTTTTATCAAGCAAGAAGTTTTTTGTTATTCTGTGGTAATCTTTATAAAACTTAAAGCTTCAGAGTGCAGCGCTTTTCCCCACACGTGTGGTGAACAATTTAATGAAACAGAAACAGCTGATTTCTGTTTACTTTATGTTATTCACGAAATGGATTCTGCTACAACGTAACTATTTCACATATTGTTCATTATTTGTTGTAAAATAATATTTAACTTAATATTAAAATTAATTTACAGGGAATCAAAACACGACCGTGCTACTCACGAGCAACTTGAGCTATACGTTGCGTTTTGCCAGGCACACCCAGAAATTGGCACTGGAAAAAATTCGCCAAAGTCGCCTCAGCAAATGCAAGACTTGTGGAAGCAGCTGGCAGAGGAGTTGAATTCTAGCAGAGGACCAACACGTTCTGCGGCTAAATGGAAAGAGGTAACTTGCCTCATATTAGTTAAATTTTTTTATATTTGATGCAACGCTTTTATACATATCTATATAGACGTTGGGTGTGTGGAAGAGTCAACTACGCACGCGGGCAAGGCGGCTGAAAATGAGCCAGAGGCTGACTGGAGGAGGACCAAGCTGCAAGCCGATGAGCGACTTTGAGGAAAAGGCTTTAGCCACATTTGGATCTGCAGCTGTTGATGGGGTGAAGACCATTCAGAGCTTTGGGTTGACATATTCGCTTGAGCCTTTGTCAGTTGAGGGCCCAATATCACCTGAAAGCACATCTTCTTTGGACAGTCCTCAGCCACCATGCAGTCCATTACTAATACCGCTAAAGCTAGTAGAACCGTCAAGCCCAGGACAACCGCCAAGCCCAGGACAACGGCTTAGCACAGAAATATCAGCAAATCCCGCACCATCTCCATGTTCATCGCTAAGCTTGGAAAATCAGGTACCTTTTTTTATTGTATTACAACATATTTATGTATGTACATATATTTTTGTGCATTTTTTAATTACTTTTTATTCTTTTTAAGGATGCTCGCACATCGCGGCTATCACGGGGTGAGCGGTCTAAATTAATTAGCACTTTGATAGCAAACATTTCAAAGAGGAATGCTGCTGAGGACGAAAAGCAACGCATTGAAAATGAAAGGCGTGAAGAGCACCGGGAGATGACGCAGACCATCCAAGGTCTAACCAATACTGTCGCAGAACTTGTGAATGTTCTTAATCAAAACAGGTCGCAATAAAAATATAAAAAAATAATTTTTGCTTACTTTTTTATTTACATATTTCAATGGGTTCCAGATAAATACAGTGAAGCAAATAAAAACTGAGACGCAACATTTAAGCAAGTTTTGGCTATTTTTCTTTAGTTTATTTAATGTTTATTATTTTGTTATGAAAGTATAGCTGATTACTTGACAAAGTTTAAATAAATCCAAATTTCAGACTTTGTTATATTTGTTGATATTTTCTAAAGATGCTGATTAAATAGTTAGAAATTTTCGTTGACATTTTTCTGAATTTTTATTTTTTTGCACAAAGTCTGAAATTTTGATTTATTTAAACTTTGTCAAGTAATCAGTTATACTTTCATAACAAAATAATAAACATTAAATAAACTAAAGAAAAATAGCCAAAACTTGCTTAAATGTTGCGTCCCAGTTTTTATTTGCTTCACTGTATTTATTTACATCTTTGGATTAGAATTTGAAAACAAAATGTACAGTCTGCGCCAAATGTTAGTGTACACCTTGATCTAATATAATAATCACAATTATTGTCACGAATAATTTTTTGCATAAATTATTTATGAAAATATATTTAATTCTATAATATAAACCATATAAGTCAAAGTTTCACACTTTATATAAAGTTCCCAAAAATTCAAAAAATCTATTTTTATATGGAAGAAAATGAGCAACACCCTTCACAAAAAAAATTCTAAAAAATCAACGGTAATCTTAGCGACTTGAAACTTGCACTTTGTTTTGCTAAAATTTAATGGGCTATAAAACTGCTTACTCGAAAATTTTCCAGAGATTCTGAATTTTTGAAATATTTAAAAACATTTTTTTAATTTTTATAAACTTTATATAAAGTGTGAAACTTTGATTTATATGGTTTATATTATAGAATGAACTACATTTTCATAAATAATTAATGCAAAAAATTATTCATGATAATTGTGATTATTATATTAGATCAAGGTGTACACTAACATTTGGCGCAGACTGTACATTTTGTTTTCAAATTCTAATCCAAAGATGTAAATAAATACAGTGAAGCAAATAAAAACTGGGACGCAACATTTAAGCAAGTTTTGGCTATTTTTCTTTAGTTTATTTAATGTTTATTATTTTGTTATGAAAGTATAGCTGATTACTTGACAAAGTTTAAATANATTATGATTTTCTTGGTTTTTAATTTAATTAATTTAATTAATTTAAAAAAAGTAATCAAATAATGCAAGCAGGTTTAGTTGGAAAGTCAAGTCGGAGAATTTTCGCATTTCTGGCTTTACTTCTGGATAAATTTAATAACTAAAGGGTTGAAATATATCTCGATCTTGTTCTTTCACCTTCGCGTATATACTGTGAAGAATCAACAGCATTATTTGGAGAATCAAAGTCTTCTGCAACCTCGTCCTCTACCTCGTTCAGCATAATTCCCGCTTTCGTCATTATATTGTGCAATATAACGCATGTGCTTACAACCAGAGCGGAAGTTTCATGGGAATAATGTAGAACTCGGTGCTTCAGCAAACATCTGAAGCGCGATTTTAAAACACCAAACGCTCTTTCAATGCAGTTTCTGGCAGAACCATGTAATCTATTATACTTTTGCTCTTTAGAGGTATTAGGTGCTCCAACTGGTGTTAGAAGCCATGACTCTAGAGGATAACCTTGATCGCCAATAAGCCAAGATTCTTTCGGGTGTTGTACAGACATATCAGCGTGCTGACGAATGAGATGCTCCCGTAGGTTAGAAGTTGCCCAAATCCCAGAGTCATGTGTTGCCCCCGGGAATTTGGCGTTTAAAAATGTGAAACATAAACGGTGATCACAGACCTGAGAAACAGAATATTTATGAATTACAATGGTCACATGCATACAACTAAACTTACTGCTTCGACATTTATACTGTAGAACCCTTTCCTATTTAAATATAAATTAAGAGGACGGTCAACATTATTTGATGGTGGAGCAACAATAGCAATATGCGTGCAGTCAATTGCTCCTATTGTGCTTTTTATGCCAAATTTTCTAAAAAATCAAGAATAAAATTCATATAGCTTAACTTAAATCGTTCTTTTTCAATTTTCTTTAATACATACCCTGTTTTTACAAAAGTTTCTTCCTCAGCCGAACTGGGAAATTTTATTTCTCCTTCCTTCACCTTTACAATAAGCTATGCCACAGCCCGCAAACTTCTGGAAAGAGACGACTGACTCATTGGCAAGTTGAAGTTGTTGCCTACACATTTTTGGTATGAGCCGTGCCCAAAGAAGTTTAAAGCTGACAAAACTCTTATAGTTAAGGGAAGTGACGTGTTTGGCTATCATGTGGGGCCAGTTCATCAATGATACGACGGCAAATTTCACGTGTCAAACGAAAATTTTCCATAAACGTTTTATCACTCAACGAAAATGGATCACTATCATCTCGTAAACTTCTTAAGTAACGCGCGCGATCTCTATTTTCGCAATTTTCCTCTTCGTCTAAAAACAACAATAAAAGTAAAATATCTTCTTCCATTATAATAAATTAGTTTTCACAACTATGCACAAAGAATAAAACAGATGTTTTATTTGTCAAGAGCATTTGACATCTTGACAATTTATCAAGAAAAGAGCTTTTAATTTATGACATAGAATAAAAAAATCTTGATAAATTGTTAATCTTGATAATTAAGCAAGATGTTGAATTTATCAAGTGCACAGAATTAGGGGGTAAAACAATATCACTTTTAGTTGACGCCTTTTTAAGGTGGCGCCCATCTTTAGCACAAAGTAAAACACAAAAAATAATAGACTTGTTAAAGTTAATTGATTTTAACTCAAACAAAATTCTATATGTTAATATAGGTTATAACCGCGCTGTGCGCCAACACCTAGGCTTTGGATTACAACATTCTTTTTTTTTTACCATAAATAGCCATTATTGTCATTTATCCAACACAAGTAAAAATATTTTCCATGAATAGGATCTTCAGACGTTCCAATTTTTCCATTGAATAAATGACAATATTACTTAAAGAATTCAACACACTTCTTGCTTTTTTTTTATTAAAAGTACCAGGTTTTATTAAAAGTCAAGGCTTGGATATCAAATACTGGCCATTTGGATAGCCTTAAAAACAATATTTTGAAAATAAAATTTAAAAAATGTGGATTTTAATATCTATAAAGTAAATACATAAATTTCTTACTTAAAAATTTTTGGTATAACTCCTCCATTTATGCAGCCAGGAATATGAAATATTGCAATACTTCCACCCACTATCAACAGAAAACTTATAGCGAAAATAACAAAGATCGGGTCACTTTTACATATAGCTCCCATTGTTCAGATATACGATTTTTTGTTGTACCTCCTCCATTTACGAACATGAAATTTCGCAATATTTCCACAAAACAATACCTACAGTGAAAATGGCGAAGATCGGGTCGCTATAACCTATAGCCTCCATACAACTGATTGTTCAGATATGAGATTCTTTGTTATAACTTCTCCATATATGCATCTAGGAACATGAAATTTCGCACTATTTCCACTCATTATCAGCAGAAAGTTTGCGGTAAAATGAACAAAGATCGGGTCACTATAACCTATTTATTACCTCCATACAACTGATTGCTCAGATATGGGGCTTTACTGTAAAACTACTTTATTTGGACAGCTAGAACCGGTAAATTTCGTAAGCTGTTTTATAAATAATAATACAAAGTTTACTGAGAAAATCGTCAAAATCTGTGCTATATAAGATTTATCTCATATGCCACTGATTGTTCAGATACCTGTTTTTGCATTATATATCTCCTATGTATATGTAGGAAGCTAAACCCTTTAAATTGTGTTACCGGTTTACATACCGAAATTACTTGGAGTGGTGCTATATAAGGTATATCTTCCATACCTCTGATTGTTTAGGTATGATTTTTTATGTATTTATCTCCTCTATCTACGTATGCTGTGAATATATACATTTTTTCAAATGCAGTAATCTGTTAAAGTAAAATTTTCAGATGTTCCTGAAAGGTATGAAGCCTTCGGCATAGCCGAAGACAGCGCTGCTTTTACATATTTTATGTAAAATAATGATAAAAATGGTTTCAGAGGTTTTCTAACTAAACTGAAATGTTTTTAAACTGATAAAAAATATATAATTAGCCCCCCTAAAACCATTTTAACCGTTCTTTTTCCTAAACAAATGTTAAGCTTAAGATTTTACAACGCTTAACACGTCTTGTGAATTGTGAATTAATTGCATTGCTATTGCTAACTTAAATTATAATTTTATTTAAAATGTACTACAAGGTCTTTAGAACATAACACACAGATTATCCAAGGACATTTCGAGGACCCAAAAAGTGGACACTAAAAAGTGGGCTCTGGAAATCGATTATTGTGGTCCAAATCTAGGCGGTAACATACGTAAAAAATAAAAAATAAAAATACTCCGACGAATTGGTAACCTCCTCATTTTTTTGAAGTCGGTTAAAAATGAGCTTCAAACAGCTTCGATGAGTAACTTCTAACGCACTTTTTGTAGGCTACTTATTTAGACAGTTAGAAAAAAAAAATATGTCGGTCAAAAACTAGTGGTAAATAAAATTTTTCCGCCATATCTTTAAATTAAAGGCAAATTTTTTTGTGGGCACTGCGTTAATTTTGAAAATTATTCGGTTAAAATTTTTTGGCTTACAGTAAAATGATTAAAAGCATTTTCAAAATTTTTTAACACAAATGCCTTATGGTTTCTTTGAAAGTTCGAATTTTATAAAATAGGCGTAAACATAACTGCTCGAGTATTTCTGCTTTTCTAATAGGTTGAGATCCCAGTGGCGCCAGACCTAACTTATTCTCGAATTAAACAAATTTAGGGTATAATTAGTAATTTATGTGTTTAAGAATATATATGTACATAATTGAATATTTCAAACTTTGAAATAAAATAGATACAATATCATAAGTGGAGCGAAAGATATTGAATTTTGAATGTGGTAATGTTCTGTAAATTATCGTAAATCATCCCAACTCAAAACCTTCATTTCTCAACAACAAAAAATGGATCCGTATAGCTCATTATATTACGTTAGTACTTTGCAGCATAAATAATAATGAACTTTCTTAATACAAAATTAAATATCTATCATAATAATATAATAATACAATATGTGTCTTAATCTTAATTTTATTTATAGTGGTAATCTTAATACATATTAATCTTGATCTTAATACTAAACTTAATCCCAATCTTAAACTTAGCTTTCTTCTTAATCTTAGTATTAGTATAATCGTAACCTTCATCTGAAATATAATGCTAATCTTAATGTTAATAATAATCTTATTATTAATTTTAATCTTATCTTAATGTAAATCTTGATCATAATCTTTATCTTATATTTAATTGTTCCCAACCAGCCCTGCCATCCTTTCCTTTCTTCTGTCGCTTTTTCGTTTCATGTTGGCTATATACCGATATTTTGTTTTAGTTTAATTTTAGTTAATACATAGGTATATAAATTTATTTTCTTTTGTCTGTAGAAAACGTCTTACGTTTCGATATGGAGGCCATACTGAAATGTTGTAGTTGTAATTTTTAGAGCTTCACGAAAACGCTTATTACACGAGAATCAATGAAGCAATTTCAAAGAAAATTGTGGCATTTCAAAGATAAAATTCCAAACCCACAGATTTATTTCATTACTGTCGTAGAAACAACGGTAAATATTTGCTTATTTTGGGGTAAATTTTGAGCCTTTAAAGTGCTCTAACAACCTACGATTTGCAGATATAACTTTAGATTTCGGGATATAGGTTCTTTGGAGCAACAGAAGTATTATCGTGTACAAATTTTATATAAATTCAACCCATATTGAGCATTTTAAGGACAAAAATTGTTAAACAAATTTGCAATTTTTTTAGTTACCAAAATGCTGTAAAACCGCTCGAATGATTTTGTTTTTGTTTTTTTAATGAAAAAGTCAGGTGTTTTCCTTTCGTTTGGTATATGGGAAGTATTGGTTGATATCTTCTAAGTATGTTTATTTAAATCAAATACATATATGGGCATAAGTGATTTTCCATGCAAAATCACTTCGTCATCGTTTTGCAAACACGTGCATGCATTGGAAGTGAGAGAAGGAGACAAAGAGTAAGGGTGTGTAGGTATTTCGGCTTTTCATTAACAGATGGCGCAATATTTATAACCTAATCGCAGCGTATGTAAGCAAATACATAAATACGTACATATGTCGATTGCAGTTAAAGTGGATCTGTATTTCCTTTAGTAGTCTATGTATGTACATACATATGAATGCATATTACGCGAAAACTTTTTCATCACATCAGATCTGTACCGTTTGTTCGATTTTACAAAATGAGTTATCAAAGCCCTGTGGATGTGCAATAACTTCTTATTTTTTCAAAAAGAGTTGTCACCTGATAAAAAATTGAAATTCAAATTATTTTTAAGTTAAGTCAATTATTACACTATGAGTATCGATCGAAATGGTTTTGAAAAGGCTTTGTTTCTTAATTGTACGCAGGAGGGTTGCCACCTGTTTCACAAAGCAAGCTCGGATTAAATAAATACACAAAATTGAAATGTGATATGGATGTCAGACGAAAAAGGTTGCGGTTTGAAAATATTTTTCACAGGGTTGCCACCTTGTTACAAAGTTAGATTCAATATAAGCAATAGTTTAAATAAATTACTTCAAAGTGAATATAAATCAAAATTGCTCTGAAGAAACTTTATTTCCAAACTGCATGTAGGAGGTTTGCTACCTGATTTTGTAATTAAATTCAATTTTAATTAAGAGTTTTAGATAATTTAAATATGTATCACAATGCAAGTGTCAGACGAAGAATTTTTCACGAGGTTTTGGTTTAAAAATAATTTTAACATGATTGCCATCTGTTTGAGAAGTATAAAATTAAGTTTTATGAAATCTTGAAATATTGGCGTCAAACAAAGGAGTTTTACAGAAATATTTAGTTTGAGCACTTAATAATATTAAAGAGGGT